TCCCATTTCTTTCCCTTAACCCTTGTTTCTTATCGTTTCTTGGTGGGTGACTCAACGCGTTGGCTCCACGATTCCATCCCCTGTCAAGAACGCCTGTCCGCCCCGATCGTCATTCCGCCAACGCCGGGACAACACCCACCCTTGTGCTCGCGCCTCGCCTGCCCTCACTTCTCGTCTTCCCTCCCACCACCCCCACCACCCGCCGTCACTGCCCTTGGTTTTGCTGGGTCTAGTCTGGCGCTTCGGGCCATTCTCTGACCCAGTGCAAGCTCAAGCACGCACGCTGCCCCGGTCGTAGTCCTGGCCACTCAGCAGCACGGTGCCGCTGCTTTGACTATTTTTTCGAGGCTGATTTGCCTCTCCTCCTGAGTTTAACCTTCTGACCATGCCTGTGGCAAGCTTGGCGGCCCTGACGCCGCTTCTTGTCGATCGCGAACAGGTGTGGCCACCCCGTGCTGCTGCCCCCTCATCTATCGAGGCCAAGCCACTTCACTCCTGTCATTGAGACTGGCCACCGCTGCCCTTGCGTTGTTTCTGACCTCCAACCGTTGACACCTGACTCACGCCAACTGACTTGTTCGTCATTCGGTCCATTTAGTCACTCTTTCAGCTGGGCCAGGCACGAACCGACATTGAGCGTGCCTTATTATACCATGGCTCGCTGACCATATCCAAGCACATTTATGCGGCTCGTGGCATTGGTGCGCAAACCCGTTGTGGGAAACTGCCTGGCGCACAAGCGTCTGTGCACAGCACAGCGCTGTTCTCTCTCGCCCCCTCTCCTTGGCCTATCTTGTCCCTCACTCTGCATGCAACGGCGATTGATTGCGGCTAGGCTCGGCCAAACGAAACGTAATCAAGGTAGATGTCTTCCTCTTAACCGACCTCTTCCTGATCACTCGCCATCTCGAGGAAGAGGGCAAGTATCAGCTCTTATGCGAACCCTTGGACCTGGATCAATGCAACATCACCCACGTCTATTACAACGATAACTGCGAGTTTGCCATCGAGGAAAGCTTCAAGCAGCAGAGCAGCAAAAAGCGCACCGCCTCTCGCCGCCAATCCAACACCCCTGAAGATGTAACCGTGCAGGCAAGTACCCACCTTGTATCCACCCTTTGAAACAGGAAGGTCATCCAGACCAAAAACCTAAAACAGGAGTCGCGAGTCACTAGCCATGAACTCGATCAAATGACCAAACTCGGTCAACCTGGCTCACCTGCTTCCTCGCTCCTGTGCCACATTTTCCACAGGTGATTGGGTTTCGTGCGCCCACGGGTGAGGAGAAGCAGCACTGGCTCTATCGCATTCACAGCGCCATTTGCCAAGCCAAAGGCATTCCCAATAGTGAGTTGCGCGGCTTTCAATGATGCAACTGTGCAACAGTTGTCGGGATAGGCCTTGCACTGCGCTCGCTCCGCTGACATTCACGCTTTGCAATTCTCAGCCATGAAATCTCCAGCCCAGCATGAGCTGGTGGAGATGCGTCGCGACCAATCCATCAATCGCCAGCGCTTTGCCACAAGAGACGACCCCACCGCTACACTTCGAAGTATGCCAGGGCTCGCGACTGAGATTGCTCGCAGTCACTTTATGGCTTCCATCCCCCCTCACCACCAACTTCGGTCTGCCTCAGGCGTTCATGACAAAACAAGCTCTTCCATGCTGCGCCCCAGTACCAACTCCAACGAGTCCTCAACTCCATCAAGCCGCCGTGGATCATTCGTGCGCTCAGGTTGGTGACATCCCCGGCCTTTGGTCCCATGCCACCCTGCCGCTATGAAATAAAATGGACTGACTTGGCATGCCGCAAACGGGTCACCTCAACATGGCGCTGACACAACCTTAGGTTCGAGCACCCGTCGCCGAACCCCAAAACCTTTGGGTGCACGTACTTCTTCAGACGAACAGTTGCTGCGCCCCCCTCGACGAATGTCGAATAGCAACTCGAGACGCTCGTCCTCGGCCGCGCTGCTGGGAAACACACCTCCCGTACCAGAGGATAGCGTGCTGCTTACTCCGACTCAGCGCACACGATCAACGCCCCCAAATTCATCAACCGCCACCACAACTACACAAACACGGCGACGCTCCCAAGATACTCTCCGACCCAGCTCCATTCGCCGCAAATTCGAAGCGCGTGCTCAGGGCGAAGCCTTGACGCCACCTCGACCTGGTCAAGCTTATGAAAGCCCCATGTTGCGTCAGCTCCAAAGCAAAGGTGCCAAAAGCCGGGTCCAAACACTGGCCAACGCCTATAGCCGTGAAAGCTCCAGCGACTCTCTTCTGCATGCCGAGGCTCCCGCCGCTTCGCGTTCACGCCGCATCTCTCACGTGACGGTACGATAAGGCACTACCAGTCCTCTTGGTCAACGAGATTGAGCATTGGCATAGTGCGCATCCCTGTCTGATTTCTGGTTCACCCGCAGACGATGGCTCAGCAGTTTGTCCACGCACCTGCATCTGGTTAGCGACAGCACTGCTGCAACTTGTGCGCGCATCCACATGTACACACAGATACACAATGCTGTTGCGCATCAGCTCGGGAAGGCTGAGACATCTCACCGCCTCTCCTTTTGCCAGATTCGGACAACAAGTCGCCGAAGGTTATGGAAGCTGAAGAATTACAAACCATGAACGCAGTTGACTTGCAAAAGCGCGTCAATGAGGTTTGTTTTTGCGTGCTTAAGGATGCTTGAGCTCGTTGCAGATTGAGGTCGCTGCAGATTGATTTAGATGCGCATGGCGTTCCCGCCTGACCATTTGCCGGTGCGCTTGGCTTGTGCAGGGCTTGGCCAAGGGCCTCATCTCACAGTGGGAAGCCCAGGAAATTGAGCATGCCCATGCCATCTGGAACAACCCACACGACGTAGGTCTTGGTTTTTCTGCTGAACAAGAGCCACTGCTCAACTTGGATTGCAAACCCGATCTTGCTTCGTCATATCTGTATCGGACTCAACGCCTTGCTTGTTTCCTGCCGGCCCATCAAATCACCTGTTGGTAGTGGGATGATGCCACTGTGCGTGCAGCTTATGCGCAAAGCCGTGACTACTTTGCCCGTTTGGATGGCAAGTTGGGTGATACACCCACGCGCAATGCCGCGCCCCGAAGGTTGGTAACTGCTCTTCCCCGATGACACGACATTCTATCTAAGGCAGTCATGACCTCGCTGTGATGCCTTCACTAGACGCAACCGACGATCTTCCTACGATATCCCCACAACCAAGCAGACTGTCAATCAGCTGGTATCCCAGATTCAGCCCCTTTCAGGCCGGAGCAACAGCTGTGCCTCTGATGAAAACTATACCGTCGCCGCGCGTGCCATGATCCTGACTCAGTTCGTGCCCATTTTGCCTGTGCCCGCTGTCCTCTGAAATACCGCCCTGACCAGCGACGTGTGCTCCGTTTACCACAGAAGCTCCCTGGATGCCTTGCCTATCGTCGAGGGAGAGGTGTCTCAAGAGCTGCTCGATTGGGATTTGGAGTTTGACATGGATCTTGCCGAGTGTGACGCAAACGATAGCGAGGATGGAAGTCGAGCCGCCTCACGCTTGCAAGATAGGAGAGCTCAGTCGCCCAACCCCCTTCAGCCACACAGCGTGATCGCCACTTCGGCTTCCCCCCAAGCTTTGGCTCGTGCCAGATCACCGACGCCCCCTCCCAAAAAAGCTGTTGTGGTATGTCTAGCTGACACGTTCGATACGCCTCGGATTTGGCCAAGCTGCCAAATGTGTGATCGGTAGTATCAGAAGTTGGGCGTTTCTCGCCCCGACGATGACAGACAACCCCATTTTGACACACCCGCGATGCGTGCTGATCTCTTATTAGGATTACACCGATCCCACTCTGCCCTACACTCCACCAAGGCGGATGGTACAGGGAGCTGAAGGCAGGCTGGCCCCCGTTGTGAAGCGCAGTCAGAGCTTTGAGGCACTCAAGGATTATCATGAACATGCTTTTGATGAAGCTGACATGCCGGTGAGTCTGGGCACAGCCTTCAAGTGGCAAAATCGAGGGTGGTGGGATAGCAAGTGTGTGTGTGAGAGAGAGACGCACAGCAACACCCTTGGTTTCACTCGTGGCCATCTATCACTGACTCTGCAACCTGCCTTGTCGTTGCTCATTTGCTTTTCCCGGTATACGTGACGCGACTCTAGGCCCCCACCGCTGCAACACCCATTACCAAGCCGAATAACAAACTTCGCCGCCTATGGTCCAAGCGCGCAAAGAACGGTCCTGAGGAGGCCAGTGGACATGGTCGCAAGAGTCGTAAAGCGCGCTCAGGCACGCCCGTCAATGTTCCGGCACTGGACAGCGAGGAAACGGCCGCCAGGCAGCTAGGCAGCTCGTCGCTGCGCGCCGTCCGCAGGTCGGTGCTGTCCACCGCACCGCGGCCTTGGAGCACGTCTTTTGAGGCGGCAACCGGGGATGATCCATTCCAAGCCATTCTCAACAACAGCCACGATGGCAAGGATGCTGGCGTGCTCAAGCGGCGTCACTCGTCTGTGGGCCTGGAAGCAGCCATCCCCATTGGCGAATGTGATGCCTTGCCCTCCCCGTCCCATGCCTCGACGCTTGATCACGAGGAGAACCGCTGCACATCAACGCCCACATCATCAGAGCCACCAAGCCCCAAGGCCGCCAACTCGCCATTGGCACGGCGTGGGAGCGCGGTGTCCATATCAGTGGCCGCCACCGGCGAGGAAAGCATGGTACGAATGGCCCAGAGCCAACAAGCAGCCCTATCCATGCTCGAGGATCAGCCGCCCTCTGAGAAGGTGATGCAAGCGCGCTTGCGCGATGAAACGGCTGGCACATATGAGTTTATGCCTCTTCGGGGCCGGCCGGCAACATCGCCACGCGTCTTGACGCCAACCAAGAGGTATTCGCGGGAGGCGAGACACTCGATGGTGTTGGATCTCTCCTTCTTGGACACGGAGCGTCACAAGCAACCCATGGAACCGTTGAATTTCCCTGCCAAGTCCCAGCAAGCAACTGATGAGTCTGTCCATCAGGCAAAGGTTTCTCTGGCGAAAGACCGGGCCCTTGCGGCTGAGCAGGAAGCACGCGCTCGTCAAACAGCTCAGATGCCTGGAGGAGTAACCTTGGGTCAGTACCTCGAGTCCACATGGGCCGAGTTGATGAACGCCAACGGTCATATGTCTGCCAGCCAGCGACACACGCTTTTGACACAGTTGATGCAGGAGCAACATGAGAAGCACTCGCTTCTCGAGATTTTGCGCGAACGCCAGCAGCACTCTCAGCAGCCCGCGCCAGAAGCCTCTCATCGGCAGAGATGGACTGGTGATCTCAATGTGGATGTTTACGGCACACAGCAGCCCTTGGTATGTCAACCATGACTGCGTTTACATGCGGGCTTTGCCAAAAACAATCATCCTTTACAGACCTTTACCTTGCTTGCGTGCTGTACCCACTTGAATCATGTGCACTAACGCGTTTGCCCGGCCTGTGTGTTTTTAGAGTGACAAGGCCAGTGGCAGCCTTAATGCCAGCCCAAAGCAGGTCAATGCAAAGCCGAGCAATGTACACGCACCTCAAGGCCAACCAGGCTTGACCCGAGTAAGCACGGGTGGGCTAGCAGAGGGCCGGGCCGATCCGCGACACATACCTGAGGACGTACTGGCGATGTACGAGTCGGACCTCATGATCACGGTACCATCCGACCCAGTGCCGGCGGTCGTGAAATGGGTCATGCCAGAGCTTACTCAGTTGGGTGAGCTGAACGCTTTTCAAATGCGTGCAATCTCCGTTCTGCACGCTTCTCTTTGCGCCACGGCAACTGTTCAGGCGTTGTAGTACGCGCAATTCGGGCCTGGCCTCTTTGTCTATGGAACGAGTGCCATGAGCTAGAAAACCGACTCGTCTTCAAACTCGCTATCTTTTGATGCATTATGATGTGTGCAATTTTTGGGGATTGAGCGTTTGCGCCTCGGCGAGGCTCGCCAACCCCGATACTTCACTTTCCAATCGAGGCTTGTACATACGCTTGCCACTCTGACGATTGGGGTGGTGTACAATTGAGTCTTATTATGAGATTGATCACATCTTGTGCATGGATGACGGTTGGGGAAAGATCTTCTTCCATTCTGATGACGTTTCTGCCCGACTTCAGCCCTGACGAGAGGGGTGTAGCCGTCAAGCAATTATGCCAGAACCCATTGCAGCCCCGACACCTGTGGCCCCACCAGTGGTGGCAGTAATCACGCACAACGGTGACCCATCATGATATTAGTCGAACGTTCGGCTCAGTGCACAGCGCCGGAAATCAACACATGTCAACCGACACATCATATTTAACTTGCTGTTCGTGAGCGCGTTCCAGGCTCCTTGGTTTTGACGCAAACAGTTCTCATTCCCTCAGTGGTTCAGGACATCCGTACTCCATACAGCAACTCCCTCTTCGGCGGCAAGGAACGCGCATAAAAGGGTCACCTCGGCAAGTATATAAGTCCAATGGGCAGCGCCCGGTTTTTGTTCTTGTCTTTGCGAACAACATTACATGCGAATGTAAATTCCGAGAAAATGCAACGAAAATAGGCCAAAAATTATGGGAAAATGAGTGTAAAATTTGAACGTGGATTGGTCGTGTGTCAAAAAAACAAAAACAAAAAGGGTCGGCACGATCAAATCACGAGTCGATAGGCGGCTCAGGTCGGCTGGAGCTGCGGTTACTTCATCAAGCTCTAAAAACAACGTCGGAAGGTGTTGCCTAGTTCAAGATCAGCTCAATAAGAGCAAATAGTCTGCCGGTCGCCCCAAGGGCTGACCACAAGGCACGGTGAGGTGATCACCTAGTATAAATTCAACAAGCGGAGGTGTCGCCCGCCCAACAGGGAGACGTGAGGATAGGCGAACTTTCAGTGGCAAGCAAACGGAATTCACAAGAGCCAGCTCACCTTGGTCATTGGCAGGGTGTCCACGATAATGCTCAATCAAGCGCTCAAGGGTGTCAAAGTAAACATCTCGTCCTTGCAGCATATAGCGTGAAGGCGACTCCCTCGTCTGTCACCGGCATGCCCAGGTACACAGGGGTCAGACAGGCTAGTGTGCCATGGTGACAATAAGACAAAGGTGTAGGGACACAGGGATACGTCACTACGCTACCTCCTCAATCACAAAGTGCTTGCAGGCGTGGCGAGTGCGCACCGACAAGGTGTAGCCGAGGCTGGCACACGCGACAAGAGAGCAGGTAAGGGCAGAAATAGAGTCGCAAAATTCTCATCGGACTCAAGGCCCAGAAAGCCGACACTTTGCACACCAGCAGGAGGACAGAGCCAACCTACCGCGTCTCGCTGATACGGGTAAGAAAGCATCCAATAGGCTTGGGTGCCAGCAAATCTTCAGCCTCTCGTCGAGTGATGACGCCTGTAAAAGTGAGCAAAAACAACACAGATAATAAGTCTTCAACTTTCATCAACCTTTGATCAGCAATTTGAGTCGCGAGCCAGTATTAGATCTCGAGGAAAAAGAGTGAAATCGAGGTGCTTCGTACCGTGGAACCAATCATGAAAGTGTCCGGATGGCTTTTGACCCGCACCGCGGCGTCGTTCGTTCTTGCGCCACCACTTGACGGCTGCCTTAACCTTGGGGTCCAGCTTGACCTTGATAGGCTTTACCTTTTCTGGCTTTTTTTGCTTAAGCAAGCCTGCAACCTGCCAGCATGAGCAAGTTGGATGTCACAAACACGATAAACCGTGCGTCAGTTGTCCAGCCACGGTCCTGGCCCGCCGTAGTTCACCCAAAAACATACTGCCAGTTCTTCGCGTGATGGTTGAGCTTGTGCTTCTGCAATGCGAGGGCGCGCGGCAGCGGTAGCTGACGGCGGTTCGGCTATCAAACTCGCAACCACTTTCGATTCAGGCGCAGGCGCAGGCGACGGCGCAGGCGCGGAAATGGGTGGTGGTGTGGCCGGTTTGGGAGGACTCTGCTTCACCCCAAGCAAGCACAGACGGTAATAAGTTATAGCACAGCAGTAAACAAAACTAAAGGGGTCAGGTCAAAGGCTTGAAGGTCTGCGTGTATATAAGAGTGAAAGACAGGAGAGAGAGAGAGAGAGAGAGAGAGAGAGAGAGAGAGAGAGAGAGAGAGAGAGAGAGAGAGAGAGAGAGAGAGAGAGAGGGAGAGAGAGAGAGAGAGAGAGAGAGAGAGAGAGAGAGAGAGAGAGAGAGAGAGAGAGAGAGAGAGAGAGAGGATGAAAAAGGACAGAGAAGCGGGTCGAATAGACTCTCACCTTGGGTACAAAACGCTCCGGGCCGGCTGCCGCGTCTGCATCGCTCAGACGTTGCAAGATCTGGTCAGGTTCAACGGCGAGCAATGTGAGTGTGCTGAACAACGCAGCAAGTGAAAACGGTAGCAGAGTGACAAACCCAAGGCATCACGAACCTCAAGCTGACGCAGCATGCTCTTGTCCACGGTCGCAAAAAAGCTTGCCGTGGCGGCCTCTTGCTTGCGCTTCTGTTCGTTCATTTGCTGCACATGCCGCCGGGCCAAGAAACCCTTTGCCACTGTTCAATGAGTACGCCAGAAGATTGGTTTATGAGTAACAAGCGTGTTGAAACGAGCAACAAAGTCCACTTTCTGTGCGAAACAAATAGCGATGGTTTGCACGACAAGCAGACGGGGTGTGAGGTGTGCGCATTGTGCCTGACCTTTTTGCAGCGAAGCGGCATGCTTTTGGAACTGCTGCACCTTCTCGTCAAGGGCTTCAGCTTGAAAGTACTTCAAAAACACCTTGGTGCGTCTAAGCAAACCATGGACACGTCCGCGGGCGGGAGTGAAAGGGAGAGAGAGAGCCACACATGAATGCTCACAGCAGTGCTCACAAAGAGAACAAAAACAATGGCAGGGAGACTCACCCGAGCAAAAAGTCCGAGATGCCCACAGCATCAAGAAGTCGTCGCGTAGAAACGGGGCCCGCCTCAATCGTGGCGTTGGGCGAAAACGCAAGAACTTTGTATCTGAAAACCAGTTCATGACGGAAATCCAAGATAGTTCGTCAGCATCACCGCCAAGAACGGGGCAGCACTTTAAAAGTTGACATTCAGCAACGGCGCGAATCGTTGCATTTAGTACTACGGATAATGATGACAAGTAGATCGGAGCAATGCGTACCGCTCCAGAAATTCTTCGAAAGACGGGCGAAAAGAATAGCCCTCACGTCGGATTCGCGTCGTTTCGAGCATGCCTACCGCACGAGGAACAAAAAAGTCGTTTCACGTGTGATGACTACTACGTCATGATTGGGTGAAAGAATGTCTGCAGATCGTAGCTGAGCCACACACTAACCAGTATACTTGAGCTGAGCCATGACATAGCTGGGATCAAAAAAGTTGGCATTCTTGGTCTTGGACGGTTTGATACAGCGCACAAAATGCGGGCTGCAGGCTGTCATTTTCTCCACCAAAAGAAACAGCGAGTTGCGAAACTGGCCACTGACGGTCAATGCACGCTTGTTGGTCGTGTTCATCTGGCGCACAGCATGCACAGACGGCGCATCAGTGCACCGCAGAGTTGTGCCCCGCTTACGCCAACGGGCCTCATTGGGCAGAAACGCTTAAGCCGCAGCTTTTAAAAAAGCAAATGGTGGTATCGATGCAAACTGAAAACCCACCGTCTTCTTGCCAGCGCCTGGCATGTAATCCTTCTGACGGCGACGACCCGCATTGGCTCCCCACCGAGCACGGTCAGCCAAGATCTGTGCCGGCACGAGTATTGTGGTGAGCCAGAGTAGCTGGAAGATGACAAAAGCTGCCAGAGGTCATGAGCCCGGCCGACAATGAGAGCAAGACGCTGGCAAATGGCCATACCTGTCCCGTGCTGGACACCTCGGCTAGGAAGCTCTCGGCAACAACGGACAAGCCACTGGTCTGTAGCACGGCGCTGACATCAGGTGCCATGCTGGAAAGGCACAAGGCGATCAGAGTCCAATGTGAGATCAAGCCGCCGGAGTCTCAAACCACACCACACTTTAAACGGTGCTGGTTGAGAGCACCATGATATTATATCCAACCTGTCGCGGTTCTTATAGAGGAAGCCGTAGCCGGTGTATTGGACGTCTTCAGCATAGTGTCGCACGGTAAAGCTGCAATCAGCACCTTGGGCAGGGACGAAAGCCTTGTAATCCTTGAATTGCAGCGCAAACTTGAGGACTACACATTGTTGACACACCAGCGAGATGAGAGAGTCGCAGCCACATGTCGAGGGAAGTGACTGATCGGCAAACGCAGCATTTGCGCAAATGGGACTGACCGAGTGTTTCGTCCGTAGCTTTGGGAAAATGCGACTCTTCGTCCAACAAGGCTAGAAGTCCCACGGGGCGACTCAGGAACATGTCCTATTTGACCAAAGAGCAGAGGAGGTCAGAGGTGGGAGGCATCGATTTGGCGCTGCCCGAGCGTAAAGGCCCTGGCATGGCGGAGATTGAACTCACGAGGACTGGGCCGTTGTCAACGTAGGTGACATTGGCCCCGTCAACGCCCTGGCGGGCGTACTCTTGCTGCTCAAGATGAAAAATGTGCTGCCAGGTACGTTATCCCTGAATGAGGCGAGGGAGACAATTTGTACTTTTGTGATTTTGTATGCATGCACGCCGTGGAACTAGTTACCTGGTTGAAGAAATGTTGTAGTTGCTCGTTGGCCAGGCTGGAAAGGATGGGCACTTGCGATGAGTTTGCGGGGGCAATCATCTTGCCAGCGAGATACAACAGCCAGGTGGGAGATCTGCACATACTTGATGCAAAATTGTTCAAAGCCCGATTCAGCATGAATCTCAAACCCGAAAATGTCGAGGATGCCTAAGCAGAAGAGCAATGAGTTGGAATGGGCTGTGGGTCTCATGGCTGTTGTCCAAACACGAGAAGGTTTACCGCAGACCCAAACGCACCAATAGTTTTGAGCTGTGGTTGTTTGCGCGGGTCGGTGGTTGCTATTCTCGGCAGCGATGTTCGGCCCGGGGTTGTCCAAGAGAAATGAGGATGAGCGGGGCGCGGGGAACTCTTGTTAGCATCGGTTGCTCTACGTGAAGCAAGGCTAGTCTAACCTGGGAGGTCAGGTTTAAGCAAGCCGTTGATGCCGCTCACAATCCAGCCAAACATCCGCCCATACAGGGCCTTGGCCATGGCATCGCGCGTGTCTGGGCTCGGGACAATGCGGCATCGAGGTGAGCATGTGGCAGCAAGGTCCGCAGGGAATTTTGCCATGGGTGCTTGTCGAACCTTCAGCTTGCTCCAGCGTAAAGGGTTTGCGGATGGCTTCACCACGCGTGATGACGTTTGACGCCATCAGAGCCTCGTGCAGGGCTGCCTGGTCTACCTTCAACAATTTTGCAACTTGAGCCAGCACCCCTTCGGCGCCGTCAGCAAAGTGAGCCGGCTCGAGATGATCCTGGAGCAAGGGCCACGCCGTCGCCGGATCGAGGATAGCACGGGTCAAAAGGTTTGGTGAGGCACCTGTCGAGTTCAGTTGACGAGGCAAGACGTGGCGAGTCAACTTTAAGGAGAGACCTGCAGCCGTCTTACCGCTGACTTGAAGTTGATGCGACCCGTGTGCAAGACAGCAGCCAACACGTGCTGTAGCATGCTCTGTTCTTCGCGAGTGAATCCAATGTCGTCCAGCGCTTGATGAACCAACTCAAGCTGCTGATGAGCGTCGCTTGGAATGCTTCCCTGGTTGAGATACCTGACCGGATGAGCCGTGAGAGTTGGTGAATAAACGTCGATTGTCCCATTAGCGAAGCCGCGTCTTGGTCATCAAGGAGGCGGCGGTGGCGCGGCTGCCCCAAACTTACGGAAAAGTGGCTGGGGTGTCAAGCCCCAAAAGATCGCGTTCGGCCGATGCAAACAAGTAGTAGAAGACGTGAAAGTTTTTGTCTTCCACCATTTGGTGGACGACCCGCGACTTTTCCAGCAGATACTCGGAGAGGCGAGCCCCCATAACTTTGGGCAATGGGTTGAAGCATGAGCAGAGGCGCGGGCCGGTCGGGTTGCTTGCTATAGGGGCGCCTGGGGAGTGGAGCCTACCTTGGCCTTGGGGGTTGAACAGCAGCTCGGTATATTTACCAAAACGCGAGCTGTTATCGTTGAGAAATGTGCTCGCATTGCCAAAGGCTTCGAGAAGCGGATTCATCTAAGAGAACAAGGCGGTTCGGTCATGAGCGTGGATGAGCAGTGGCTGTTGTGCGGGTTTCGCTGTTTACGCGGGATGGGCTGCAAAGCAGACCTGCAGGATGCGCTGCTCGAGTTTGGAACCCAGGTCGCCGGCACGACAGAGATCGATGATGTGGCTGATGACAAACTTGGCGCTCTCCGTTTTGCCGGCACCCGACTCACCACTGCCGCAGACGAGGTCCAAGCAGTTGCATGCGTTATTTAGCATCAGGCGAAAAGAAGGCTGCGAGCGCTCACACAAATAGGGATCAGGCACGCTGTCTGACCTGATGACACAGCATTGGTCCTTGCCCGTCTTGAGCATGTCATGGTAGGCCGTGTCAGCCACGGCAAAAATGTGAGGCGTGTGCTGCAGCTTGGGGTTGCCCTGCTGGTACTCGGCCTAGGGCAAAAGATGTCGGGTTCGAGAAGCGCGCATGGGTAAGGAGGAGCCAGTGGAGCCAGGGAAGGGGCGAGAGGCCAAGGTCAGGTGGGTTGGGAGCAGACCTTGTGGGCTGCATCGTAGATGCCGAGCTCCTTGAAAGGGTTGATGGCAATCAGGATATCGCCCACATATGTCTGTATTTGGCCAGATCGGACGTGAGGGTGAGCACACAGCACCAGCTGATTCCAGGGCGAGGCGCGGAACCAGAGCGAGCACGATCATGAGGCCCCGGTAGATAGCGCGGGGAAGGCCTACGCACGTAGATGACATCCTTTTCGTAGCGTTGATGCAGATGCTCAAGCAACAAGTCATTGTCCAAGGTGGTCAGCGTGGCCAGATCATCCACAGCACCCACGGCCGTGGTCCCACTACCCGCCATCTTCCCTCCTCACTGCGAGAAAGGCAGATGTAGCAGGCCAGTTATAAAGCTCGCACAGGAGTCGAGAGGTGAAGAGCCGACGAGCCAAAGAGCTAGCGAGCTCAAAAGCCGATGAGCCAGCTCGACGACGAGCTCAAGAGCTATCACGAGCTAGAGAGCTAGAGAGCGAGAGAAGCTAGAGAGTTGGAGAGCTAGAGAGCCAGAGAGCCAGAGAGCCAGCGAGCTGGAGAGCCAGAGAGCCAGAGAGCCAGAGAGCTAGAGTGCTAGAGAGCCAGAGAGCCAGAGAGCCAGAGAGCCAGAGAGCCAGAGAGCTAGAGAGCTAGAGAGCCAGAGAGCCAGAGAGAGCCAGAGAGCCAGAGAGCCAGAGAGCCAGAGAGAGCTGGAGAGCTGGCCGCCCCCTTGTCCTTGTCCGTACTGATGTGTGTGTGTGTGTGTGTGTGTTGACCGTTTCTCTTTTCCTCAGTCTTTTTTAATGTTTGAGAGGGTTAGTTGAATTTAGCCAAACAGTGTGATGATGATCACACATCGGGAAGGTTGATAACATGTGTTGTGTACACCTTTGTCCTTTTGCTTTTTTTTCACTTTCTCTCTCTCTCTGTCTCTCTGTCTCTCTCTCTCTCGTGTGTGGTGAGTGCGTGCATGAGGTGGATGTGAGGGGTCGAGGGACAGTGGCGGTGGCGGTCGTAGTGGACCGTGGCTGGCATCGTGGACTGTGGTGACTGTGGCAAGGGTGGCAAGGATTGTGCTTGTGAAGGTTGAGGGAGGGATGAGGATAGCAGGGAGGGGGGAGGGGTAAGACGAATGGGGAGATGGGAGATCATCACCGAGGACGTGGGCTCATCGTATGGGTCATGGTCAGGTTCTGACCAGCGTGCCCTCTTGGCCAGCTGTGTTGGCCGCCATACTTTGCTCAGCACAGGGTCAGCCTCACGCCCATGATCAACGTCGTTGGTGACCGTTTATCTGTAGAATCACGTGCTCTGCTTTTCGCACAACGAGCACGGGGCACCCCGTGCGACCTTGCCACTAGGGCAACCCCCGTGCAGCCATACTCGAGTCCGGCCCACCAGCAGTTCACGAAGCAACCCATCAGCGCCATGGCCGAGTTTGTAGATGAGCAGGCGGTGAGTTCCACAAAACCTTCAAGGAGTCGATTGTTTCATTCTTCTTGGGACTCGTGCGTTCCTCGGGGCTGACTACCACCGTCTGGCCCTGATGTCAATTCATGCGCGTCTAGGAGCTCGATGAGCTGGATAAGGACCGCGTCGATCCCGATGAAGACGACGAGGACGATGACGATGAGCAAGGTACGGTCTTCGACGCTGTGCATCCACTCAAACTCGAATCCACCTCCGCCACGGCCCCTGCGCAGTCTGCGCACTCTGTTGGCACCACCTAACTCTCCATCGGCTTGGGGATCAAACGGGGTGACACAGAGGAGAACGACGGCTTTATCAACGATGAAGATGAGGAAGACGATCGGCCTCGGGCCCGCAAGCGCGCTGGCAAGCGCAAAGGTGCCGCTGCTGACGACGACGACGACGACTGTACGTCGCGACGCGTGGCTTACGGCCTGGCTACGGACGGGGCGCTCGGAGGGAGCCATGTCGTCCTCTTGGTTCACCTTCTGTTTTGTTCGTAGATGACGAAGGTGATGAAGACTTGCTCAAGGACAACCTTGGCGAGGAGGAATATAACAAGCTCAAGGCTGCCAAACGGGTACGTGGCTGCCATCTTACCCTTCGCTCTTCGCCTCGCTCTCCGCCATCTCCTGGTCATCGCCACAACGGCCAACCCGGTGTGGTATGGCGCGTAGAAAAAACTCATCATGGCAGACGACGACGACGACGACGACGATGACATGATTGCCATCCGCCGTTCCACTGCTGGTGGCAACTCCTCGACCACTTCAGCTACACCTGCGCCCGCCGCCGACAACGCTCCCTCAAAGGATGCAGCGCCTCAAGCAGCTGAAACTAGCGCTGCTGCCCGCCAGGCAGTCGAAATGTCTGATAGCGAAGATGAGGATTCTCATCCGGCAACCAGCGCCAATAATCAGCCTAGTCGATCCGCCGCCACGGCTACCAACGAAGCTCTTGGTGTCGACGATGATGACGACGACGACGATGGTGACGCTGGTGTGCACGACGAGGACGATGACGATGACGATGATCTTGACGTGAGCTAACACCTCTCCTTGATAGAAGTACCGTTGCTGTCCAGCATTGGGCACACGTCGCTTCAACCTCTGCTCGCGCGTTCGCCACCTATCTCACTGTCGCCTCGCAAATGCAGGACTTCGTGGTGGAAGAGGGAGAAGAGAACATGAGCGAGGCAGAGCGCCAAGCCCTGCGCGCCAAGCGCCGTGAGCGTCGTCGTGAGCAAAAGCGCCGCATGCAAGGTGAGTGCCCACTTCTGTTGGCCGTGGTCTTGTTTCTCGTGATCGACGCCAGTTTTTGGGCAGTAACTGCTGGTGGCCTCTGCCTCTCATGGTCTCGTGGCATTTGCAGAGGCTGGCCTGGGTCAACAAGCCCAAGCCGTCCTCTCTCTGTTTGGAAGCGCCGAGGATTACGAGCGTCAGCTAGAAGATGAGTTTGCAGACTACCGGGAGCTTCATCCGGACGAGCAGCAGTTGCCCGAAGAGCTGCGAGCCGACCTTAAGCCAACTACGGTACATTTGACTGCCCTGCCTCAACCCACCTGCAAATGGGGTTGAAGTATTTTCGTTCTCATGTACGCCCGCATGTCTCCTCATGCTTGTGCACGGCTTGCCCTTTCATGCTTAGGCTTCCGTCTTGGGTCGTGAGCTGGCTCTTACTGCCTCGCAAATTGTTGAAGAGGGTCAGTTCTGTACCATGGTGGTGACTGCAGCACGCTTGCGTCACACTTGTCCTGAGAGCCGCGCCTTTCTCGTGCTCACGATGGCTGCCTCATGACGTGGGGATGGCTCTTGTCAGACGTGCCCGAACGCATGCAGACGCAATGGCGCGGGCGTTTTCGCAAAGAACCCATCCCGGCTGATCTGTTGGATGATGAGGTCGAATACATCTGGTCGGCCTGCTTTGGAGCGACGTGGATCACGCACTGGTGTGTCAACCAGTATCACAATCGTACTGGTCTTTTTGCAGACATGCCTGCACCATGCATTCAACTCATCGCGGCTCTCGCTGTCACAGGCACGATCCAATTCTACGCCGCACCTTCTTCCGGGATGAGTTTGCTGACATGCGTAAGCGCGACCCACTCGAGGTATGTTCATGTTGATGGCGAGGAGGCTTGCAGCACCACTCCTGGTTCGTCATTTCTTTGGTATGCTTACCTACCCTGTCATTCACGGCATCGGCTCATCACAGACGAAGCGCTGCATCGCCGAGTGTGTCAAACTGCTGCATTACGACCGCGTGGTAAGCACCTGCCCTACCCGCGGCAAGCGGTTCATGACACTTTGATCATTTTTTTTTTGTCAAAAATTTTATCTGACCCGGCGATTGCACAATCTGGCGGCCTGCTGCCCTGGTGGCTACATCCATTAGGATGATTTTGACGATTTGAACGCGACCACCAGCGGCGACGCCCAACGCACTGCAAATGGTCCACGTGAAGTGCCCTTTATCGCACACTTTCGCAAGGAAAAAGTTGGATTCCCTAGCGTGCTCAACTACCACGGTGCGTCAAGTCCTCGTTTCTAGGCTCGTGTTATTGCTCAACCGATCCACTTTTGCATGGTCGACCGTATTGACCCTTTGATTGTGGGCTTGTTTGCGCAGACCTGTGGCTCGTACAAGAATACGACCAGCGATTCCACATGCTCCACGAGCAACACGCTCGCTTGATTCGCCAAACCGATCATCTACTGAAGGTGAGCACATAGCAGGCGCTCCTCTCGGATTGCTCGCCCGAATCCTCTCTTCTCACACGCACGTCTCGCTCTCATTCAATTCAAAATGGCGTCAGAAACTTGAGCGTGATGCCAATGCAGGTTCTGCGCCGTCACACCGTGCCACGTTGATTGACAACAAGTTTCTCAACTACCTTTATGGCGTACGTATTCGCCCACTTTCGGACAAGTTACGACGACCGCTCTGGCCTGTTTGAAACTCAAGACAATCAATTTGCCAATCTCGCAGATAAAATCCGATGAAGAGATGAAGGACGTGCGCGCCTTTCTGCGCTTTTTCTACGATGACCTCTTGCAGGAGCTGAACACCGGCTCGGGGAGCCAGAGTCATGACGACCAAGCCGAGACACATGCCTCGCGCCAGCGTCGTATCACCAGCCGCTACCACCACTCGGAAAGCGTGGGTCTGACTGCCTCCATGTCATGCTTCGGCATCACCCTGCCCCAGATTGTGGAAAACATTCTCAACGGATTCCAGCTCCACGAGGTTTGTGCACAAATAACCCCTTGCCCTCTTATTCCTCTTGCAGGACGCCTGCAACTGGTGCTGATTCTTGGAACGCTCACATTGTTTTCACATCTTCTTCAAGGTTCAAGCCCCCGCAGAAGACATCTTCCAGGTGGCCATGAGCTGCCCTGTCAACATTGATGTTGAGGAGGTTCGCAGGCTGCGCGCTCAGCATCTTGGGTTCCAACTACGCGAAGCTTGTGTTCACTCTTCTTGCTGTCCTCATGTTGATCATCGTCCGTACTCGCAGATTGTCAACCGCCTCCAGCATTGCTTGGCGCGTGAGATTGCGCAGCACCCCGCCGTCCGCGGTCACTTTCGCGAGCGCATTCGGCGCATGGCACTGCTAACCGTGCGTCCCACCAAAAAGGGATTCCAGCTCATTGACAAGTGGGATGTGCTGGCCAAGTACAGGTGCGTGGGTCCCACACGCGCCTACGCCTAGGCCTCATGACCAATGGCATGGTGTTCAAGTCGCCATTCCACCTGCAGCTGACATATCAGCTGACAAGCAACGTCCTTGTTTCGCCCCGACCACAGGTTCCTCACCAACAAGCCCGTCGATACGCTGAACGACGACACCTTCCTGTGGCTGATCAAGGGCAAGCGTGCCGGTCTGCTTGAGTACAGCTTTGCCGTGTCTGATCACACGGCCACGGAGATTGAGCAAGCCATTCTTGGCGTACGTGAGCCCGGGCCGATGGCCCTCTGTGTCGTGGGTCGAAGCTTGTTCGTGAGCAATATTGCTGTCCGACGCTCTCATTTAAAACGGGGTTTCTCCGCTGATGCAGGCGCTGCAATTCACGGTCATGGATGACATGGCCCTCAAGTGGAAACCCCACATCAACGCCATCGTTCGGGATTGTGTGCGCGACATGCTGTTGGTCGATATGATCGAGGAAGTCGAAAAGAAACTTACCGCTGAAGCTGAGGTTGGTCGTACCAGCCCAATATGGCATAGCTGTGGTTCTCTCGTCCTCTAGCTGGGTCACTTGGGTCGGCTCGCAGCTGGTGCATTGGCCTTGTGACTCACGGGCAAATACTGCCCCACCGCGTGTAGCTCTTTGTGGAGGAGCAGTGCGCCAACTTTGTGCGCAACTTTGTATCGCGCGCACCCTTCCAACCCGATTTTGCCGTGGAGGAGGGGCGCGAGGACGGTAAGAGTATTGGATCGAACCTGGCTGCTTGGATGCCAAGGACTCACCCCCGCCCCACTCATTCTCGGTGTGTTTGTCATTCAGGCGTCCGTGTGACAGCATGCATTCTGGGAGACATGGGTGAAGCATCGTTCTTGGTCCATCTCAACGGCTATGGCGATGTTGTCGACTTTATCAAACTGGACAACCTTGGTTTTAGGTCAGCAGCTCACAGTCTCCATCCCTGGTGCAGCAGCGACCTTGTCTGACCAAGTGCCCTTTGCCCCAATTTGCTTTGCTTCACTACAGCGAACACGCACGTAACGAAAGGGATGCACAGCGCCGTCGTGATGACAACGAGCGCATCAAGTACGCTTGGGCACATGGGCGGCATCCTCTTTCCGCCACTGGGGATACATCTAGTGCACGCAGCTGGGATTGGCTCCCAAACACTCACATCTCTTGACGCGCGGTGCCTCATGGTGCCTCATAGAAACTTTTTGCTGCTCAATGTGCCTGATGTCCTTGTGGTGGGAGCTGACCGTCAGCCGGCACTTCGTACGTATCGGCTTGGGCTTTGCAAGTTCGCATGAGCATGGACCTTCACTCTTCCTATTCCATCGCGTCACGCAGACTTGCACCGCACCTTTGGTGACATGGTTCGGAACATCCGAGAGGAGGTCGAGGACTTTCCTCCCGTGTCCGTTGAATTGGTTGAGACTCAAGTTGCCGAGGTACGCAAACTGCTTTGTGGCCGGTCGTCATCACCTCGCTTGGAGTGTGGAAAACTTTTTCTCAGCACTGATGCTTGATCTGGGTCATATCTTGAATACTGTTGGATGTTGCACAGCTTTATGCGCGCAGTGTGCCAAGCAAGAAGGAGTTTGCTGAGTATCACTTCTCTCTCATCACGGCCATTGGCCTTGGTCGCCAAGTGCAGGTCAGGGACGTTGTGCCTGTTTGCAGTTCGAGTTTGTGATTGTTTGCCGGATGCGTTCATGGCTTCGAGCGATATAGATGGGTGCAATGGGGCTTTGGGTGTGAGCCAGCCTCGTGCCAATGCCACTTGTGTCCGTCACCTCATGCCTCACTGTTTTTGCCCTGCCTTACAACAAACGCAATATTGTCGGGTAGAACCCCGAGCTGATGATGGCAACGCTCTACAATGAGGATGAAGACTTTTTGCACATCAGCATGCACCCTCTGCAGGAATTCATCTCAAAGGATCGCCTCCGCACAAAGCTGATTCAGGAGGTGTGTGTGTGTGTGTGTGTTGTTGTTGTTGTTGTTGTTGTTGCATAGCTGGGCACCTCGCGCAACACATGCGTTGTCTCATCTTGTCTCATAACAAAAAACGCGACATGTGGTGCGCCTTCCCAGATGAGTGTTGCTGTCAACCGTTCGTGCATCGATTTGGTGGCTGCCGCGAGCAAGCCACAGCTGGCCAACGCGTTGCAGGTTTGTTCGCTCTGGTTCCTCAAGCAACAAAGTGCCATCACCAACGCCATACCCACGCAACTTGTGCTTCAACTTTTCCTTAGTTCATCTGCGGTCTGGGCAAGCACAAGGCTGCGGCGCTTCTGAGCCACCTGCGCCCAACCGTGCGCGAGTTTCACGGCCGTCGCCAGGTATGCGGAGAAGTTGCTCAGCTTTGAAACACGTTTGTCACGAAGAGCAAGACTTGGCCGTGGCCTCACTACCCAATTGTTGGACCGTGGTGCTTCGCTAGCTGGCAGACATGGAGGGTCTGGGCCCATGCACGGCCTACAATGCATCGGCATTCTTGATTGTTCATCCAAGCCCTGATTATGATGAGCCGGTATGGAAATGCTGTTTGACGTGACGGCAACGGATGCGACACATGGCCGTTCTGGTGGTGGATGAGGTGGAGCTGCAGAACTAGTGATAGGCTAGCACTCGGGCATCTCCATATGTTGGCGCCAAGGATTGACACCTATCGTGTTTTCCATGTATGTTTGTTTGTGGTTCGTTCAACAGGAACAGTCTTCTCGCTTGGATGAGCTTCTCATTCATCCAGAGTCGTACAAGTATGCCACCAAAATTTGCATGGATGCTGTTGGCTACTCGGAGCACATTGGCGAGGATGAGGACGCCAATCAGTTGGCCAACGAGGCCATTGGCAAGATTTTGGACGATGCTTCAGGTCGTGAGAAGCTTGAGCGCCTTGACAATAGCCTTGCTGACTACAATCGCTACGTACGTTCAATTCTAAGCGGGCCCGACTGAGGGCCAACGCATCGTACAATGCAACTATCCCCTCATGTCCATCAACCGGCACCTCACGTTTTATGTGCGTGGCCACAGCTCCAAACCTTGGGCTTGCCTGACATGTTGCAAACCTTGCAAGACATCATGACCGTTCTCAAGGCACCGCATCGGTACGGCGCTATACTTGGGTTGAGTGATGATGAAGCCTCGAATGTAAGTCTCACAGATGCTCCTGACTGTGTCCATAGGGAGATCCGAGCACCGTTTTTCAGCATGTCCGATGCTGCAGTGCAGGCGCCCATGGCCCCCTCCTTGTTTGATCGCATGCGTATCAACGAGGCCCTGCACCGACGCTTCTGTGCGCTCTCTGGGTGAGTAGGAGTGGTGCAGACTCAGTAACTCAGCAACGTGCTGGTCGTTGGGGACTGAGAATCTGAATTTGAATTTGCTTGCAAGTTGTGCCCGTGCTCACCCGTTTGGCGTGTGGTGTGGTGTGGTGATGTGGCAGACAACTGATCCAGCATGTGACCGAGTCGGACATCCCCATCATGAGCAATTTTGACTGTGTGATTCTTCAAGAGCACAACTCGTGAGTACTCGTCGATGCACATTCACGCGGTGCCTGCTGACTTCTGATTGATCTTTTGCTTCGTGTACACAAACTTGATCCCCGGTGATGTAGGGGTGAACTCTACTTTCACAATCCGGTAGTGTTCGAGCCAACTGTCTGCATCAATCAAGTGGTCGATGCAGAGGTCTTGCGCTTTAAGGAACGTCCACCCTTGGACCCTTACGGAGAACCACAGGTTTGTGTGTTATGACCAGCGCTGGCGGCTTTTCTCATTTGGCCGTATAAAGCTGTGTCTACCATGATGTGCCATAGCGTTCTCCGTTTCACCCCGAGACTGCTACGCATTGACGGCTTTGAATTATTTTCACGTTTGGACTTTTGCATGATTTCATGTTCATTTTGATTGTGTGCGTGTGTGTGTGTGTGTGTGTGTATGTGTGGGGTAGATTGTGGACGTGACGTTGCGCATGAGCAATGGTATCCGTGCCACCCTCAACGTTCGCGACATCAGCTCGTCAGACATGAACGTGGATCCTCGTTCACGCCTACAACCGGGCATGGTTGGTTGGCTTCCTTTTCTTGGGTGCTACGAGTGATTCCAAAGCGTTGACAATCGTGGTATGGTCTCATTCCGTCTTTGGCCGTGCTTTTGCTGTGACTCTTTTCCTGCAACAGTTGGTGCAGGCACGAATTATCGACATTCGTTTAAAGTTCATGGAGTGCCGAGTATCAACCAAGAGTGCGTTGGCTGCAGTTGCCATGCTTTCTTTGCGCACGTAGTTCTGTTTGTGTGTGTGTGTGTGTGTGTGTGTGTGTGTGTGTGTGTGTGTGTGTGTGTGTGTGTGTGTGTGTGTGTGTGTGTGTGTGTGTGTGTGGCACATACTCAAGTCCTTGTGGGAAATGATAGGCGATGTACTGCGAGGTGATCGTCAGCTGATGCGGCCTCAGGTTTGGGGCTTTGATGGCGATTATGACGAAGAGGTGCGCTTCACCAACCGAGTCACGCGTCAACCTACATTGATGACACCAACAAGCGATAGCATGGTCCCATGGTGCCCTAACGAGACTGTGTGATTCATCCTGCCTCGCAGGCTGAGATTGAGTTTGAGCAAAAGCTCAAGGCAGAGGAAGCCCCGGCGCTGCGCTACGTGCCGCGTGTCGTCAACCACCCGGCCTTTATCAACGCCGACTATTCGCAGGCGATGAAGCAGCTACAAAACGGCCACATTGGCGACGTCGTGTTCCGCCCGAGCTCCAAGGGCGAGAATTTGATCACCTGCTCATGGAAGACCGGAGATGTACGTTTTGTGAGGGGTATCTTCGTCGTCGGCATTATGGAGCTGCCCTTTCTGTTTGGTTACTTTTTGGTCCCCCCTTTTTTTTTTGAGCGTGCTCGCCACCAGCGCTGCTTGTACCAGTCTGCACCCCTCATGGTTCGACCTCTGAACATTTTCTTTTGGTTTATGTGTGTTCCTGGTACATGCAGAAGCAAGTGGCGCATACGACCATCAAGGAGGATGAGGCCCGGAAGCGAGACGAGTACTCGCTCTCGGACCGCCTGCTCCTGGAGGTGGCGCCCGGTCGCACTGAGGAGTTTGAAGACTTGGATCAGATCATCGCTCAGTACATTTCACCCATGGCCGACCTGATTCGTCGCCTGCACGCACATCGCCGATTCAAGAACGTGACCCGCGAAGAGATGGCGGCAGATATTGTCGATGAGAAGCGGCAAAACATGAATCGCATTCCCTACTACATGAGCCCGGTCCGTCTCGCCTTTGCTCTTGGGCTTGATGTTAGCCCGCATGGCCATGACCTTGTTGCGCATGTCTCACATTCAATGTGTCACGGTTCTTGTTATCCTTCAGGCGGAGCCTTGTCGCTACTGGCTGACGTACGTACCCAAGCGCGACGCCCTCTTGCAGCGGATCCGCATTACGGTTGATGGTTATCAGCTGCAAAGCGAAACGTTTCCTGATATCGACCAGCTCCTGACTTGGTTTAAGCTCAACTTTCAGCGCATCAAGCCCTACAAGCCGCCGAGCCGTTCCACGCAGCGCTCGTCTCAACCGGCTGCCAGCACAGCACCCGCAGCTCCCCCTTCCAACTCCGGCACGGCTGGCGCACCTGCCGCACCGGTCCAGCGGGAGCCACGCTACGATGCACCGCCGATGGGCTTTGGTGCCCCACCGACCCGCGAGCCAGCCTATCCCCGCCCGGCCTATGAATCAGCGCACGTTGGTACTGACTCACGCTATGGCGGACCAGAATTTGGTGGACCACCTGCCCACGACTACGGCGGTCCGCCAGGTGGCAGTTTCCGGGGACCTTCCGGGCCCGGCTTTCAAGGGCCACCTGCCCACGATCTCCCACCCTATGGTGGCGGACCGCCTGGTTTCATGGGGCCCGGTATGCACAATGATTTCCGGGGTGCGCCGCCTCCAGGACGACCCGGACCCGGGCAAGCTAACAACCAGCAGGCTCGCAATGACGAAGCCACCAACGACTTCTTGCGTCATTATGTCCCGGCTCCAAACTAGACGGCGCTCAGCCCATGCCGAACGGCCCTTGTTGAGACTGGCTCGTCGCCTTTGAGTGTATTTTCTTTGTCATGTTTTGCTGGTGTGCTTCGACATGTGAGTTGGGTATGAAATGCAGCCAAGGCACGATTCAAGGGTTGCTCAGTCCTCTCGGCTGGTTTATATTGCGAATGGTAGTGACGCCAGTGATGGCTGTGAGCTTTTGCTTGTGCGTCTTGATTTGAGGTGAATGAAGGAGAATTTATTCCGAGCAAAGCTTGAGATGGATCAGGTTCTTGGGGAGTGGTTTTTGTTTATAAGACATTGCTTTGGGGGAGGACGTCTGTGACACCTTCATCGGGACAATTGAGGTTAATAGCGGTTGGCCGAGGCCATGGGGAGGACAGGAGAAGGCGAGCCCAACACCAGCTTCAAGGACGTTTACCCATCGCGTATCACGAGCCCATCTTCACGCGGAGTGAAGTTGGCTTGGCAACAGCATACATGTTGTAAGTGCTGGCCGAAGAGTTCATGAACAAGTGACTCGTTGCCATCTATTATTATTATTATTGTTTGAGGAGGAATGCTCAAAATTAAGGCTTGGACACCGAACCGCGGGCTTGAAGTCGTCACATGATCATGGGGGTAAGTACTACATCCGCACATGCGCGTGTGTGCGAAAAAGTGTGTGTGTGTGTGTGTGTGTGTGTGTGTGTGTGTGTGTGTGTGTGTCCAAGCGACATCCAATCCCTCGTCGCATCCGACGAAACAGGCGGCGTTGCCCCGTTTCTCGTCAGCATGGGACCAACAAGACCGCAGAATGATGCTATCAAGCCTCCAACCTCTCCCCCGCCCTTTGTTTCGTGTGTTACAACCCCTATCCATAGTGTGGATGCATCGGCAACATCAGTGTGTGTGTTCATGACGAATTTTTTTGCAAAGGGAGAGGGAAAGAGAGAGAGAGAGAGAGAGAGAGGAGAGAGAAAGAGAGAATTTAAAAGCAATGTGAGAGAGAGAGAGAGAGAGAGAGAGAGAGAGAGAGAGAGAGAGAGAGAGAGAGAGAGAGTTTGAGAGAGAGTTTGAGAGAGAGTTTGAGAGAGAGAGAGAGCATGATGTTTTATTTTTCAATTTGCTGCCTCTTCTTTCAGCAGAGGGTTGGACGGCGAGAGGGGCGACGACGAGCGACGGTCGGGGGGGGTGTTGTCTGAAGCACGTTGTGTGGCGTGGTGGGTGGGGTACTTGGTGGTTGGAGTGAGTGTGAAGTTGGATCGTTTTCGGCCAGAACGGCAACGCGGGGCACCGGCCGCCTAGTGGGCTGGGCGGCGAAGAGGCGGCTGGAGGGATTGAGCCTGAATATGATGTGGCAGACAAGGGTGGCATGGACCCTGGCCGCATGCGCATCTGTGGCGGCCCCTCGTGGCGCGTTGCACTCCGCCTGATCTGGGCCTATAAATATGACTGGTTCACCTGCATTTGCCTTCTTGGTGCGTTCCGCTCGGCTCGGTTCGGCTCGGCTTGGGTCGGGTCGGTTCGGTTCGGCTCGGCGCAAGTTGTCCTGCTTGTTGCTGCACTTGCACTTGCCCTGGTTCTGGTGGTTGCTGGTGGTGGCTGCTAGCATGGCCAGCCTCTGACGCTTGCGCCTTGATGGCTCTTTGTGCTTGTGATACCGCTTGTGCAGCGGTGGGTGGGTTGCCCCAGGAGCTGGTCGATCCGTATGTTTCCGCATGGTCCCTGACCGACTCCTCGTATCACGTCGAGAACAATGCCGGTGGGTCGACCGCCGCCCACGTGCACCATGCAGAGCCATGTCGGGATGGTAGTCCCCATCTCCACGTGCTTGCTCGCCGTGATGTTGGCGCGCGCGCGCGCGCGCGTGTGTGTGTGTGTGACGGGCGAGCGAGCGCAACGGCCCACTGGGCGATCATGGGTACATGGATCTGGCTCATGATACCAAATGGGGCGCCTTGATTATCATTGCCCGGGGTTGATTTTGCATAGGAAGCTCGGATAACAAGGTGCCCAGTGTGGTGCTTCTGCCGGTTTTTGGCGTTGCGGGGCTCTTTGTCATTTCACTGATCCCGATCATTCTCACGCCCTTCCGCGGCTACTTTAACCTGCGTGAAGGTATGTTGAATGTTGGCCACCTTGGCGAAGGAATGGTTGACGTCACGCATTTTCATTGGGAATTGTGCAACCGTGCTCGGTCGTTTGCTCGGGGTAGTACATCACCTGGCCTTGGCCCACTTTTATGCCATTTGCCTCGAAAACGGCGTGCGCGGTCTCTTAAACATCATGTCGGGCGAGCTGCGTCCAAACTTTTATCAAACTTGCCAACCTGATGTGGACAGTAAGTCGTGTTGTGGGAGGACTTGAGGCGGGCTGATGGCGCAATGGTCTGACCTTTGCTTTGCATTGAAATCCACATAGACTACGTCATTGGCCAGCAACCAGTGTGCCTTAACCCTGATAGTGAGGCACTGGCAGATGGCCGCCGCAGTTTCCCCTGTGGGCATTGTTCGTTCTCCATCTCGGTGGCGGCCACGCTCTCGCAGCACCTCTTTGCGCTGCTCGATGTCTATGATGGTCGAGGTACGACTTTGGGGATTCCGTGCGAGTGCCGACCCAACACTTGCAGCCCATGCGCCAGGAATCTGTTGCTCTCATGACAAGGTCGGCCTGTGGGGATAACATTATTCTGTATGTGTGTGTGTGTGTGTGTGAAAACCTCTAGGTTGGATCTATCGCAACGTGATTGTCTTGATCCCGCTTGTCGGATCGTTTCTCGTCTCGCTCTCGCGCATTACTGGTAAGCACCTTTGATCAAATCCATTGGCATTGGTTAAACAGGGGATGCTGGGCAAAGGCTTTCTTTTTGAGTTTGATCGGCATCTCACCTGTGCGCATCTGCCGGGTTTAGATGGTCGTCACCATGGCTCTGATGTCATCATTGGTTTAATTCTTGGCTTTACTGCATGTGCGTGGCCAGTCAGAAGCGCTCGTCTCTATCAAGGCACCGGGCCCTCTCGTCCTGCTTGTCGCTCTTGCCTCTTTCCTCTGTCTTTGACTTTTTTTTTTTCCCTCGCGCTCACATGATTGTGTCAAACTCTCTCACGTACCCTGACGCGCTTGACTGTTTGTGGATGTTGTGCAGCCTTGATCGCGTACAACACGTATTTTGCATGGTTGATGGGCCCGGCCCGTGGAAAACCGCTGTGTGTGCGTGACACCATTGGCATGCCCCAGCATTTGATCCATCCAGCCGTGACCACGCCCCGTCTTCCCCAAAGGTCAGTCTTGGAAGGTGGGGATCGGAGCACTCAAAAACAAACAAACAAGAAAAAAAAAGAAGTTACCCGCCAAGCGATTCAACCTGTTCATGTGGGCTTGACTTGGGGTGGTTTAGATACGACCAAGCCCCTGCAGCGGGTAGCACTCAAGCAGTTATGGGACCGTACGGTAATGGCGGTGCGGCGCGGCCTCTGGAGCGCGCCTCTGCGCCACCCACGATTGCTGCCGTCTAATTGACGCACGATGATGTAAAACACAACGCCCAATCATACCCTGTGAGCGCTCTAAGCACTCGTGAGCACTCTTTTCCGGGACCTCCACCCCACGTCATCATCATCGACGCCCTGACAAGAATTGTTGTTGCGGCGCCATCCGAGCCTGGATCAACTCATTGTTGTTATCACTTGTTTCTTACGATGAGGCATGATTGCAAGGGACAGAGCGGACGAAGATGTGATTTGATCGACACCACGTGCCCTCTGTCCAGGACTTGGATGGTGTGACAGTCAGCACGCTCAAACACATCTTGTACTTTGCTGGAAGACATTCTTTCACGGTGTTGGGAAACAGCCCGTCATGTCTTGAGAAAATGGAAGCACTGCCAACAACGCGTCCCAAGTCCTGC